TAGGCGTGTGGAATATGTTACATTTTAAGACTATTACAGCTGACACTATAAATTAGTTCAAGAGGCAATTAGATATTGAGAAAATGGATTGAGTTGGGGTGAGGGGAGGTGGAGGAAGAAGCTTATCTAATAGTTACTTTCATAATAATAATCCCTACATTTCATATAGGGCCTTTCACATCAGGAGGACCTCTCAAAGTGTAGAAAATACTATTAAGTGTAATAACTGTGTATTTTGTAGCTGAATGTGGCAGGACCTGTTCAGCTCTTGTACTCATTTCAATCTTGGTAGTTTCCTGGATTATGGGTCTTGCCCTTCACCTTGGTCTCTCAATAGCTATTAGCACTCAAAAGACTTTTTCAGTAATGTTTCTTGCTTTAAGATGTGCACAGCTCACTTCAGCAGAATCTCATCTCCTAAGGACTAGAACTATGACTTTTGTAGCAATTGCTTTTTAAGTAGTGTTGCCTTCTCACAATACAACAAAATCCAAAATAATATACAATCGCGTATTTACCAGCTTTGCACCCAGTCGCTAAAGCAGATGAATATGAGTTTAAATGATTCCTTCCACATGCAATTTTTCATAGCTGTCACATCAATACTTCATATTTGTGATAACCGAAAAATATTAAGACAATTATTTAAATATTAGAGAATAGCAAAGCGACCGTTCCATTTGCAAAAAAGCTATTTCCTCTGGAAGGAGAATCCAGAACAAGGGGCATAATCTTAAAATTAGAGTTAGGGCATTTAGGAGTGAAATTAGGAGGCAGTTTTTCACCGAAAGGATAGTGGAAATCTGGAACTCTCTCCCCCAAAAGTCTGTGGATGCTGGATCCATTCACATTTTCAAGACTGAAGTGGATAGATATGTGTTAGGTCAGGGTATCAAGGGATATGGGGAAAGGACGGGTAATTGGACTTAAGGTACAGATCAGCCATGATTTTATAGAATGGGGAACAGGCTCAAGGGGCTGAATGGCCAACTCCTGTTTCTATGTTTTCTAAGCATCACTGCAGGAGGCATCCATGGAGGCACTATTTTAGTTGTTGTTTGCTAATCAATGAGTTTCATTGTGCTATTATATTCAATGACATGATAAAAAATGATGGGACTGTCAAGTGAAAGAATATGTGAATCTGCCTTTTAAATACTATCGACACTGTGTTTATATCACTATTCCAAAACTAGTTCACAGGTGAGGAATGCTAAGTTCCATAATGCCAAGTCACAAAAATGCTCATTCAATGCTTCTAATAAAGCAAATAACTATATTATCTTTGTGAACAGAAATAAATTTGTGTTAAAATACATGAGATAAGAATCAGCATATCTGCCTTTCATCAGCCCTAAATCCTGCCCTACAAACAAACAGTTGGTGCTTGGCCCATGTTGACTGAATCATTCTCCTAGTAAATACAATAAAGACTTGAAAAGTGCTATATCAAATGCAAGGATTATTATTATTATCACATACTGCTTTTATTGCAGTGTGGTGTAATAAGAGTTCTCACATGTTATAAAAATAATATTTAAGTATTCTGAAACAGAGTGCAGTGTGCAGTTAATTTTAGAGGATGGTAGATGTGGCCAGTCTACAGTAAAAGCATGTAAATAAAACAAACTCCATTATAGAACATTGGTTCTGTATTGAATACTGTAGAGTATTCTAGAGACGCAATCTTAAATTTAGTGTTCAAGAGCCAGGATTTAGCAATCTGGATATCAGTGGGCCTTTGGGCTCAAGTGATCATTCCAGTGTTTGAACTGATACGGTCTTGGAGGATAAGGGCAAAAATAATTCAGAAGTATATGAGTTTAGGCCAGCAAAATTAGGAATCATGAAAAGAGCTCTAGACAGGACTGAGATACACAACTAGAAACTAAAATAAACGTTGCAACGTTTAAACGTATAAGATGAAAAATACATATGTATTTATAAGAAAAAAAATGAGTAACATAAAACCATGATAGCAAAATAAGAAGGGAAGGGTGTAGGGAGCACTGAGTTGCTTACAAGAGATGGCTAAAAATAACCGAAAAGACCATTGTTAGATTGAATAGGAAAAAAAAGGCAGATAGCAGATAACATCGAGAGGCATTCAAAGAAAGGTGATGCTCATAGTAGGAATCAGATGAAAGCCTAGTAAAGCCATAAAAGTTGGGAAGAGAGGCAAAGTTGGGAAGAGAGATTCTACAGGATCAATAGGTATTCTGATATGTTACATAAATCTGTACAGTAAAAATAATCTTTGCATTTGATATAACGGCTTGTCACAAAATCCTTCCCTAATGTGTTGGAATTCACTCAGGAATTGTGCAGAATATCCAACAATCAAAATGTACATAAAGCTTCAAAATTAATAACTTTAAAGATGGTTAAGGCTCATGGTGTTAATGATGAGTGAGCTCGCTGGCCTAAAAAGCTCTGCAATTAGAAGCAGAAGGTGGTGATAAATACAAAAGGCTCCATGTATGTGCAGTGATTAGTAGTTGAGTTCGGCAGGGGTCTGTTCTAGGTCCCCTGCTGTTCCCACTATCCAAAATGACCTGGAGGAAAGCACTTCTGGTAATGCAGCGGTTGCTGCCAGATGACAAACATAAACAGAACTGAAAGAGATCAGGACAAATTAAACAGATGGGGCAGGGAATGGCAGATGGATTTTAATCTGACTAAATGTACAGTGATGCATATTGGAACAATAAATAGCAAACATGAGTATATAATGAAAGGTTGTTCATTAGCAAAGGTGGAAAACAGGAAAAGGATTTTAGAGTGATCGCTGAACGAAAAGTTGCAGTCAGTATGCACCATCATCATTAAAGCTGGTCAACAACAAGCTCCGTCTTGAGAGAATTTCAATAACGGTCAAGTTATACATCACTGAGGTCTGAAATTCCACTTAATTCTAGTCTTAGTTTCGCCCACAAAATATATAGCCAATTCACTTTACAGTCTATTCTGTGAAGCCTTTGAGACGTCTTGAAGATGTGATAAACTGTTATATCAAATGCAAGGACTATTATTACTTTTATTAGTCCATAAGTCTAATTTTGTCTTAAAATTTAAGTTTGGGCAGAATTGTGGAAAATTCGTAAAACTCGTCTTAAATTAGGAACAGCTTGTTAAAAAAAAGATTGTAAATTTTTCCAGAAATTTAAGTCTTTCCGGCAAATACTAGGTGGAATTCTGGGCTTCTGGACAGGCCACATTTGGAATACTATGCAATGTTGGGCATCTTGCCATCAAAAGGATTTTGATGACAGATGTTCTCATTTAGGAGATAACTTTGTGATTCAATCCAAGACACTGTTTGTGGAACACTGCTGTTTGCAATCGACTGTCGCGTTTCGACCACAAAATATGCAGTCAATTCACTTTACAGTATTTTCTGTGAAGCGCTTTGAGACGTCTCGAAGACGTGATAAGCCGCTGTATCAAATGCAAGGATTATTATTATATCAAATGTAAGGATTATTATTATTACTTAAACAGACTCCAAGCTTGTGCTGCTGAGGTGGAAGGAACAGTGCTGGTGAAGGCAGCAGGACTGCACTGAATAGTGAAGTGGAGACGTGAGGACAGATGAATACTGCAATTCATTCCACTGAGGGATGGTGGGAGTATTTATGTACATGTTTCCCTCAGAACATTAAATAGGCAGGGTTGAATCTACAAATAATATGTGATAAGGCTTGATGTGCTACAAGACAACTTTGTCTATGTTTTACATTCTTATTTTAATGGAAGTGCTGTATATCTCATTTTAGAAAGATCACAGAACAATTTGCACTGCACATAAATGTGTCAACGATTTTTGAAGTGGCACTAAAAATAATATTGTGCGGATACTAAAACCATCATAAATTTCACCAGCCTGACCCAGTTTTTGTGAGTAATCCATACAGTGAGGAGATAATTCAACTGAAAATGGTGACTGTGGGTCAATGTGATCATAAAGTACTGTTTTATTTAAAACAAATAAGCGACAACAATCTTGAGGACAGGGAATAAACTAACTTTCAGAGTGATCCAGAACCAAGAACTACAAACAAACGGTAGATATTAAACTTTTTAAAAATATTTGTGGGACACTGCTGTGCGCAATTGGCTGTCACGTTTCGTCCACAAAATATACAGTCACTACACTTTACAGTATATTCTATGAAGTGCTTTGAGACTTCTCGAAGATGTAATAAAGCTCTATATCAAATGCAAGAATTATTATTATTATTAAACAATGTGAAATGTTATCAAGGAATTATTGAGGCAACATGAATGTCCATAAGGTAATCCACATTTCCACACAGTGATCCATTGTGCTCACACATATAGTTCCTAGTGTGTGTATTCTGAATTTGGTTAGTTAGTTAGTTGAAAACATGATAATTAAACAATCTAGAATTCCACAAGAAGGCTTACAGTTTCTAAAGGAACTGCCCAAGTTGTAATAGTTAGCCTAGCATTCGATAAAGTGCCTATAACGTCAAAATATCTCAAGCACTTCACAGGGATTTGCTGTCAAATGTATTAGCTGTATTTGTAAGTAAATACTTCAGCTATGATGCCGTAGCAAGGTACCACAGTTGAATGACCAATGATATCTGGAAGACCTGGCCAGGATACTGGGAGAAACATCCTTTTCATTACAAAATAGCAATGGGATTTTTAACATCCACCTGCACAGGCAGACAAGATCTCAGTTTAACATCTCATCTATGAATGATATGGGATGCACCAGTTGGAGGGTACAGTGGAGAAGGTGGAATATAATAATAGTAATACACCAGAATGGACAGGCAAAAATTTAATTAAAAATTTCCTTTCAAATACTGCAAAGAAGGGGAAAGGATTTACCTGATCCGATTTCTTCTTCAAAGAATTATGCAAACCTTCTGAACATTACAACCGGTTCAAACACAGCTCTTTTTAAGCGACTGACACAGCTTTCGGGTTAGAAAACAGATAACAAAAGAAAAATCTATATCCCTCACCTCTGAACTCTTGACGGAGGAGCAAAAACTCCACGTTTTGGTGGACAGGTGAAATACTGCACTCCTCCTACAGAGCCATCATTCTTGCCATTGGGTTTATCCAGCTCAATCCCATACCAATAACCTGTAAAATTATATATGTAAAATTATCAGAGATAAGCACAACAAATCATAAAATCTTCATTTTATTTGCACATTGTCAGAATGTAAAAGGTCAATAATTTACCTTAATTTAGACAATGCTCATCCTATCTAAGAACATGAGATATGTGATAACAAAGAGCCATTCAGCCTATATAATAATAATATATCACATGATGCAGATTTACCCTACACTGGGACTGAAATTCCATTTGCTACTAAATAGCGGTTGTAACAGGGAAATCTCATTTAATTGCTGACATTGTGCAGCTACTCTTAATATCGACCAGAATTTCAGTCCATGTTGATTTCCTCAAATCCATTCAAATCTCTTGGGATAACACAACCAGAGGAACCTTCATCCACTGGAAGTTTGGATCCTGGAACCATCTGATCAAAAATCTAGGACATCAAATCCTTCATTCAACCAAACCATTCAGCACTGGCCAATTACATTCCACAGCTGACATCCTTGGTCCCTGTAACAATAATCCTTGGTCTTGATAGAGCACCTTAGCACATCATCGCAATGTCTGAAAGCACTTCATCAGGTTTATACTATAAAGGCTGGTGACTGTATTTATTTGTAGGTGAACAGAGAAGCCAATTTGTGCACAGCATTGCCCCATAAACAGCTAAAAAGTGAATGATTTATTTTATTGTTGGCCAGAACACCGAGAAAAACTCTCTTCTGTGTCATACAGTGACAGGGCATCTTTCAAGTCCACCTGCTAAATACCTCATCCGAAGAGACAAAATAAAGAGGAAAGCTAGGATGATTGAGCAATTTGAATGGGAATTTGACAAACATTTGCATATATATTTAAAAAGCATGGGAAAACAGCAGGAAAATGGGGTTCGAGTAGCTAGCTCCAGCTGGGAGCCAGCACAACATGAGAATAATGGACCGAATGTTCTCCTCCTGAAAGCTGTTCTTAACCTCTTCAGATTTTATGAATGAGAATTATGCTGGCAATAAACTAAAGGCAAGATATGCATGAAAGAGCAAGAGAAAAGTATACAGTATAAATGTGTAAATCATATATTGGTGTTTAGAATTGTCTTTATTATTGTAAAACAATCACTTGACTTTTTTTTATTTTAAATAAATTACCATCCTCGATGGAAACAGTTTGTTTTCTGAATTATGAATTTTACTTCCAACAAAAAAAAAACTAGCACAATAAAGGAGCGTTGCCATTTAATTTTAATGAACAGAGTTACTGACTCTTACAGTGAATTAAAAGCACTGCACTTAGTAATGTGCTAATTTTTACTTGCCTCCATAAATCTGCTTTCATTCAAGGTCAAGTTCTGTGTCAAATATGTCAATGATCTCTCTTGATACTGACTCTATTTTATCATTGCCAATAGACTAAGGTTGGAGAGAGATGAGAGTTATTTCTTTCTACAGACTCAAGGTAATAAAATCTTGATAAAGGCCATGTAATGAATAATTATTGTTCCCAATGCTTTCCCCATTAGTTTTCCCCATTTAAAATTTTATTATTTTGTGTGCAAGATAATCGGTTTAGTTTGCTGTAAGTAACAGATTAGATATAAGCAAATTTCGAGTTCCGAAACCTAAATACAATAAACTAAACTACAAGCATGTGCATAGTGTATTTTGTGTAAAAATAAACACGTCAAAATATAATTCATTGGTTAAAGTCAATGTCTCAATATAGGCAAACAGAGCAGCAGATATCAAAAAAACGTTTGATGTTTAGTCTATTCCTGGAGGAAATAAAGCTTAAATAACTGAATGTGTTTCAAGTCTAAAGGTTTTAAATAATAAACATAATTCTCTTGTCACATTAATTTCTAAAGTTGTGCCCTTGTGATGTACCAATTCATATGTCACAAGGTTTTCTTTCATTCTGCATGTTTCTCGTCAGTTGTAACGCTGCCTCAATTGTCTTATAAATTATGCCATCACCCCCACAATAACTTGAAGACTTCTAGTTTCCAGGAACAGAGACAGCAAAAAGTAAATAAAATGATCAGAAAATCCTACCGCTGAGTTTAACACATATTTCCTCTTATGCGAATGCATAGGGAAAAGTGGGATAGTGGCAGGATCAGAATTATTTCTCGGCACTTATTTTGCTGAAGATAACAATTTACCCCAAAATAACATGGAAGGGGGAAAAAAGCACAAGTACGGAAGGTAACACAATGCAATGTCAGCACCACAGCGTAGCAATACAGAGAAATGTGTCGAGGGGTTTCATGCGCCATTGTTACCATGAGTCAGTTCCCAATCTCACTTGAGGCACCGAATCGAGATTGCGGGGTGCAAGTCAGATGCTTTTTCACTTGGAGGAGGGGGAAATAATAATAATAATCCTTGCATTTGATACAGCGCCTTATCACGTCATCGAGACGTCTCAAAGCGCTTCGCAGAACATACTATAAAGTGAACCGACTGTGTATTTTGTGGGCGAAACGCGGCAGCCAATTGCGCACAGCAGCGTCCCCACAAACAGTCGTGGATTGAGCAACTGAATGTTTTTTTTAAAAAGGATTATTTTTTTAAAAGCGATCGGCCAATCGACTAACAACCGGGTGCCTACTGACTGCTGGGTACACAGAGTCGTGCGTGTGGAGTAAGGAAACTTGCCCAACATTTCGCCATGACCCGCCCGGGAATCATCCAACCAGTCTCGTGCATCTCCTAATGCTGGTTCAGTGCAAAATTAGTGGGGCCATGAAAGCAAGTGTCCTCCCAAGGACTCCAAAGGGAGTTTGAAAACCCCAGGCTCATATTCTCGCAATAATATTATAATTCCCCCATCCTTCTCCTCAACAGTTCCTTAAAAGAACACCTTATTACATTTATTTTTTAAAATATATTTATTGTCCATATCGCTTTAGTTGCAAATACATTCAACTTTATAAAGGTTGCAGAACAATTCCTTCTGGTCTTTACAAAGAGACTGAAAATGCCGTCAATCCCATCCAATCCCCTGGTGGTTCTGATGTTCCATGAATATTTACCATTAGATAAAAGGAAAAATTATTCATCAGCCCGAGAATTTACTGAGCATTTCCTTGGGCTATGAAATGGATTTTAAACAGACGCCTGTGTTTAATTGAAACTCAAAGTCTTCGGGGTTTACCCACCTAAGACAATAATGCAAATAATATTTTCGTTCCTGCAATATGACAAATGTTTGTAAATTTCTTCCTTCTCAATTAAGTGAACAATATAAAGGTACAGATTTTCACCAGCATTGTTTTCAGCTTCTGACAAGTAGGCTTGAAGGGCTCGCCTCCTATTTGTGATGCTCAGCTTGTATTCATTTACATAGAATCAGTTATGTAGCGCACAAAAAATATTTACTGAATAGTCGCAGTGCTGTAAATCATTAATGAAGACATGAAAGAGCCCCAAACGAGGCCAACCATAAAGGACTTGTGCAGGCAGCCAGTTTTGCTTAAACGCATAAGGATATTTATTTCTCCAATTCTCTTCTAAAAGTTTTTATGGATCCTGCTTCAATTACCTTTCTGGTAAAGGAAGTAAACAAGGAGCCAATCCTCAACTATCCAGCACTTTGGGATGTCCTCCCATTGTGAAAGGCGCTATAGAATTCAATTTTTTATTGTTGTTACAGATGCATCCCAGGACAGAGTGTGGAATGTGGAAACAATAATAATCCTTGCATTTGATACAGTGCTTTTCACGTCTTCTAGACGTCTCAAAGCGCTTCACAGAATTTGCTGTAAAGTGAATTGACTGTATATTTGTGGGTAAAACACGGCAGCCAATTGCACACAGCAGTGTCCCGTAAACAGTCGTAGATTGAAACAAATATTTGTGGAACTCTGTCTGGTTTCAATACTCTTAATGATGGAGATGGGTTTTGCATTTGTCCAGACACCTGGCTGACCAACAAAAAATTCTAACTTGAACAAAACACAAAATACTGCAAATGCTGGAAATCTGAAAGAAAAACAGAGAGAGCTGGGAACACTCAGCAGGTCAGGCAGCATCTATGGAGAAACATAACATAACATGTAGGAGCAGGAGTAGGCCATTCGGCCCTTCGAACCTGCCCCGCCATTCAATCATGGCTGATCTTGTAATCTAACTCCAGCTAATAACCTGACCCTGCCTTATCCCCATATCCGTTAATCCCTTTTGCAATAAGAAATCTATCTATCTCAGTGATAGATAGAAAGTGAGTCAACGTTTCGGGTCCACGACCCTTCGTCAGACACTTTCCTTTCTCCATAGATGCTGCCTGACCTGCTGAGTTTTCGCAGCTCTCTCTGTTTTTGTCTTAAACAAATTCTAACGTTTTGGTGATGTGAGGATGGAACATGCGGGTGAACGTATAGATCCCAGAAAAAATACATAATTCATTTATCCTGGTAAAGCCTGTTTAAAGTAACTAGCTGTCTGAATGGAAGGCTCGCTGCTGTGGGTTATGAGCAACATGGTTATTCCAAGGCTAATGACACTTGGATAATTACTGGACTCCCGGTGAGACACAAGAGTACACAAGACGCAAGAGTACAAGATCCTCCTTTAAGAGACATTTGGCATTCCTGCTGGTGTTAGTCTCAAGAATTCAGCCTTAAAATGTAATCTTTAAATCTTAAATTCGGTTTCAATTAACTGACTACGAAGCCGTTCATCTGCAGTTAAGAAGAAGTGTGGAAAAACAGTCGCATAATTAAGACTTCAGAATTTAAGAACTTTACAAATTATGGGCAAGCTTAAATTTTAAGACAATGGTGTTAAGGCTAAGACTTTAGGCCTCTGGAGAGTTTGGATGATTTATCCACAACCAAACAAGTGAAACGGAGTGATTTGAAAATTCTTCTTATAGTTCATTCACTATACGTTCCTTGTGAATTGCATATTATTCCTATTTTCACATGGATTACGTCTCCCTCCAGGTAGCAGTAATCAAACAAGTTGTACACAATTCTAACTAGGAAGTTGATGCCTTGACTGAGCACAAGGGAAAGGGGAAACAGCAGCAAAACAAGACTACCTAATTTATTTAGAAATTATACAAACTATTCCATTAGCCTCGCTCTCCTGAGAACAGTTCCATCAGCAATAATTTTTGCGAAATATCATAACGTGTATTTCGAACGATGTCAAAAAAAATCCCAGAAAAGTAATTGAGTAATTAGTTTCATTACACTCAACAGAATTATTTAGGATTTATTCTGGAATACATTATCCATGACTGTTCAGAATAAGACAATAAAATCATATCTATGATTATTTTCGAGGAAACCAAACTATATTGGGATTTTAACAATAAGAAACTACTTAAGTATAAGTAGTATAAACTATCTAGTATAATTGAAAAACTCAATCTAATAAAAAAAGGGAATTTGTTATAACAATTTATTTAAGAAATAATAAGCTTGACATCAGATGACCAATTGATACATTAATATAAATTGCGTGGTTGCCCTGGTGTATTCAACATAGTTTTAATTTCACCTAGAATTTCATGGAGCATCTGACTGAAACATTGACATCTTCAGCAATTAAGTTCTTAACCAGCGATCTAGGATTCCCAAAGACAACAAAAACATAATTGTTCCAAGATTAAGATGAGATCTGCTCAGTAAGTTTATTAACTGTTATAATGAGGATAACATTATGAAAAGCTATTCACAGATGTGATTTTATTACCTTTTCAAAATGGTAGAGGTCACTGTGCCACTCGCTATGCAATAATTTACTTTAAAAAGGATTTACATCTCAGTGACATTTAAGAAGACGTGAGGGTGCTTAAATATCTAAAATTACCCATATTTTCGCCTGAAAGGTTCTTTACTTCCTCCTCTATTTTTTCTGTTAACTTCCCACTGAGATATATACATGCTTTCTAAACAAAAGGACAACAACACATCCTTTTCAAGGGGTAATAGTCGCTTAAAAAATAATAAAACGTGGTGACTTAAACCACGACTGTTTGTGGGACACCGCTGTGCGCAATTGGCTGCCGCGTTTTTGTCGCAATTCATTTACAGTATATTCTGTGAAGCACTTTGAGATGTCGCAAAACATGATAAGGCACTATATCAAATGCAAAGATTATTATTATTATTAAATCTGAAGAAATCAAATGCAATAAAACCCCGTGGCCTCTGGTGCCATCTGATTATTTATGCAGGTGCAATCCTAGGCTTTGCTTTAGTATAATCCTTGAGCGTTACCTCATGTACTTGGTTATATCTCTGGTCTTTGAGAGTGGGTTCTGAGAGCCAGGTCTTTAGACAACAACCCATAGTTTCCAAGTAGCCATTGTTTAAAGAGCCTCAGCAAACAACAAGAAGCAAATTCTTCTCAGGTTAACAATCACAGTTCTTTCTTCAAGCTCTCATTTCCTAAGGTTGTAAGCCTGGCTCAATTGGTAGCACTCTTCCCTCTGAATCAGATGGTTGTGACTTCAAGTACCACATTAATACTTTGAAAATAACAACATCCACAAATTCCATTTGTATAGCGATGTTCCTGTCTGGAGGACGACCCAAGGTGCGGGACAGTGAGGGATTTGGACCTGAGCAGGGGGTTGGGCGATTGGGAGCGGTGGGTGGCGGGGAGGTTAGGGGTAGGACGGTAACCAAAGGCGCGGTCGAAAAGGAGAGTCTTGAGACGTGCCTTGAAGGAGGCAAGGGAGGGAGCAAGGCAAAGGGAATGGGAGATCCAGAGGGTTGGGGCAGAGAGGCTGAAGGCCTAACCGCCGATAAGGAAAGTGGAGCAGGCCAGAGCTTCTTGAGCGGACGGGTTTAATCAAAGGCGCTATACGAATATAATCTTGTATTATAATAATAATAATTCTTGTATTTGATACAGCGTTTTGTCACGTCTTCGGGACATCTTCACAGAAGAGGCTGTAAAGTGAATTGACTATATTTTGTGGGCTAAATATAGTCTGTGACTATATCTGTGACCTGCTAACGCCACATTGTATTGTATATGGCCTTAGCAGGTCACAGAGGTAGGAAGGAGCAAAACCGCTTTGAAGGCAAAACAACGCTAACTCAAGATAGAGGAACTATAAGTGAAGTTCAATATCAACAGATATTGGCCACAGCCTGCAGAGCGAGATTTAAACCTCAACAATAATATTAATATTAGGATTGAAATTTGAAAAGAACAACACAGCTGATTCCTAGCACAAAGGGGATAAGCAAAGCAATAGATCCAGAAGATTGGAGTTTCTATACTAGAAAGATGAGCCTTCGTGGGCCAAAATACTTTTCTCGATCTTCCTTCTTTAAATACTTAAGTATTGTTCTGCATTTACTTTCTCGGTTCTATTTAGCTGTGGGTCCTTTCTGACCCTTTCAAACACCATGATTGCAAAACTTTTTGTCCACAAAATATGCAGTCAATTCACTTTACAGTATATTCTGTGAAGCGCTTAGAGACGTCCTCCCGACGTGAAAAGCGCTATATCAAATGCAAGGATTATTATTATTATTATCATTATTATTCTGTGAAGCACTTTGAGACGTCTCGAAAGACTTGATAAGGCGCTGTATCATATGCAAGGATTATTATTATAAACTTTCAATTGATTTACACATGTGCTGCTATCATTGATATGGTCTTACTGAGTAAATTCTGGCTCGCAAGCTTGAAATTTTATGGGACAATGTTCCTTTAAAATCCTTGGAATATTTTGAGAGCATCAGCTAATATTCAAGCTCATTAATCACTGTATGCTGAATTTCATAATGTTTGCAATCAGCCCATTAAACAGGTTTTTCTACTTTAAGGTGTAAAAATATATCTCCAGTGAGAGAAAATAATTACAGAGCACTAGCAAAAGAAATTAAAGTGCAATTCTGCTCATGGTTCCAGTAGCCGGAGAAATCACAGAAATCAGTGTATATGCTACAGAAAAGGTAAAATTATAATAATTTGGATTATTGTGCAGTTCGTATAAACATTTCAAAGTGTTTTACAAAAGAAAATTGATTAGAAATGAAAGTGAATGTTGGTTAGGCAACTCGGCAGCTAATCTCTCCCAGCAATACTTCATCAAACTAATAAAATTGAATTTGGTGGTTAATTTGAAGTAGGACAGAATCTTAAAATAGGTTAACCAGCGCTCCTCATGCAGGAGCACTTAAGACTCCATGTTTCTTCAACACAACAATGGCAGGATGGTTCCACTTTGTCTACCTGAATCATAAAGCAGATGGAAGCTTTTTGTATTTTTATTTATAGACATAACTGAAAGGTGTTAGAGGCCAAGACACTGGACTCATTTAAAAAGCAGCTTGATGCAATGTTGGGGGAGGACAGTAGAGTGATATTCTGGAGGGGATGTGATACGCAATAAAACAAAAGTGAATTTACTCACCTGGTGCAAAATCCGTCTTCCCATAGAATCGGACGACTCCACTTCTCTGACCCACCACAACCACACTATCTCCAATCTGGATCTCACTATCGTCAGACTTCAGGTTTCCAACTGATGGAGCTCGCTTTCGCAAACCTAGATCAAACAAAGGGTTGAGAGCACACAGTTTACAGGAGAAGTGGCCAGTTTACAGTGCACATCTCTTATTGTGAAACTAACACTGAAGCGAGAAATGATCGGAAACCTTCTTGTGATGGCATTTACCACACAATCTTACTTGCATCATATTCTGAACTGTACATGGCTGGACAATACTGATTTACATCTGAATAACAAAAATATTTTTTGAATATCGGCAAAGTAGGTTTCAATTATTTTTAAAATTATTTTTAAAATAAGTATCTTACTAGATAGATCGATCAATCTGTTTCTACACGTATGGAAACGTATGGAAAAATAGTCAACCGGTTGTCAGGAACTTTGCATAAGACTACATCAGGAATGTACATAGGTATCCTTGCACAGACTCTGCTGATAGCATGACTTCTTAATCTTAATGCAACCAGCAATTAATAACCGCAGCATCCCATGAACGTCCAAGGACATAAAATAACACAACTAATAGAAACATCAGCAAAACCGTAAAATAGCTGACATAATTAATCTATAAGCAGATTTTAGTGCTGTATTAAAAACGTTTGGAACGGCGCAGCAGCTTGTTCGAGGGGTAAAGTATCTGCATGAATTTAGTCATTGAAATGCAGAGCTGGCTTTGCAACTAAAAACAAATTCTACTGAATTGCTTAATGCTGACACTGTCCAATGCTGCTCTGCTGTTACTTTAGATAGCCAGCATAATTCTCAAGGTTGTCGAGCCCACAATATATAAATAATATAATAGGAAGAGTCGTTTATGCAGCTGGAAAGGTGCCAATGTAATGTATCATCCAGTCTAACATCTCTATTAAGAGTGGTTCAGGGGATTGAGGTAGTCGAAGTACCAATTCAAGGGATAAAATGTGTCATCTTGTACTTTAATCATTTTCAATAAACAAATTCTTTGAATGCCATTTCACAACATTGCTAATATATTTTTCCTTAAAAAAAAATCAATATTCGAAATGAACTTTTCTAATGGAACAGGAGCAAATACCCGTGGCAGTCCTGGTCATGGCTGGCGTTGGCTTTTTTGCCGGCTTCTTTGGCTGGGACAGGTTCCGTAGCAGTGCCGGTGGCTGCCTTTGTCTGGATTGTCTACTCTCTACAGACGAGGTAGAAGAGGAGGAGCAGGTGGACCCAGGCAGAGAGGCTGGTTAGGCAGCAAGCGTGGAACAGAGTGAAGGAAAGAAAAGCAAGACAAAGACAAGCGTTTAACAATAGAGAAGCAAAATACAATAGGTTGTCAGCCTGGTACGGTTTGGCTCGCATTACAGCACTAGATTCTAGAATAATATAAATATTCATTCACAAAAATAATGTTCCACAAATGTGGAATTGTATAAATTTAGTGTCATTCTTAACCCATCCTCCTTTTCCATCTCAGTGCCATTTTTGTAGGAATTCATTCTTCCTTTCACCACCTGTTCAGCATCTTTACATTTCTAAACTCTCTCCTACTTTATATCTCGTCTTTGGTTCTGCAATAAACTTCAATCAGATCTTCATGAAGGAATTTAGACTTGGGGCTAGGAAATCGGGAATTTTAAAATAAATTATCCACGTAAGAACAGATTTGGTATTTGGTTACAAAATACAAACAAAAAATTTACACTCCAAGATTCCACACTTCATTATCCCAGATGTCACCAGACTTTTGAACCGAGGTTTTGAACCGGATGAAGAAGCCAGACACACGGATATCAAGAATACTGAGGAGTGCCCAGAAAAACACACAAGATAAAGAAAAAGAATGCAGAAGAGGATGCAGCCAGAGCAAGTTCACAATGAAAGTCTAGTTCAATGAATTCTAGATCTGTAGAAATATTTCCTTAAACTTGCTAATTGGAGTTGAGGTACAGATCAATCATAATAGAATGGTGGAAGAGGCTCGAGGGGCTGAATGGCTTACCCCTGTTCCTATGTTCTTCTGGTAAGTCCTCTTTTGTGAGACCATTCTATTGCATTATTCGTGGTACGATAAGAAGATATAAATTGCAACCTGCAATGTGCCTTGTACTTCTGGACAACCTAATTAAGGTTACATAGTCAGAATGTAAGGCACTAAGGGAGGGTGTATCTTCATTCTATATTTATCTGGCATAGCACATAAGAATCTCTATAAGTTAGATACCTTGCATCTTTAATCATTTTTTTCACTAGACCTTCTTTCCTTTCCGTGATGCACAAAAGGCGTTAACGTAGGAACATGTATTTCTTAGATGACATTTCAAGCAGAATTCTTTATTTAAGGTTTCCAATGGTACACAATGCCGACTCATGAGACTTCGGCTTCAAGTAGGTCACATCGGAGGGAGTTCACCCATGAGAGATGTGGTTGACGTACTTACAGTTGCCAAAAGATTTTAAGATTTGTTAATTAATTGAAGCTTTTTAGATTCCTCAAACTACTGAAAATAAAGGCTGCCAGGGATATGATTAGAAGAGAGGGATTAATTTTGTATGAACTGACTGAGTAAGAAGATGTAATATTTTGATAATATGCATCAAATGATAATTTCAGCCATACTTCGATCAGTTATTATTATTATATATTATTATTATAGATCAGTTATTGGCCGATACAATTGCTAATGTCTCTATTTTGATGACAATCCATCACAAATACTATTCGAGGACTTTCACAACACCTGCTAACTTATTCACAGCAAGACTGAAATGGTTATGAGATGGCAAAACAGAAAGCAGAAACCTGTCTTCTTCAATCCAACACAAGAGTCGGCATTGGGTCACGTTGCTCTGAGGCAGGCAGACACTTAGCTCTTTAACTAAATCCTATCCTGTAGAATACTGTCCTGTGAGTCCTGTAGCTCAGTGATTAGAGCACTCGCCTCGCAAGCGAAAGGACCGGGTTTGGATTCCCATGCAGGGCGAAAGCTTATAATAATCCTTGCATTTGATATAGCGCTTTTCACGTCTTCTAGACGTCCCAAAGCACTTCACAGAATATACTGTAAAGTGAATTGACTGTATATTTGTGGGCGAACGCGGCAGCCAATTGCGCAGAGCAGCGTCCCACAGACAGTCGTGGATTGAAAATGACCAATTTATTATTGTTTTGTTTTTTTGGAGGGATTATTATTCGGCTCTGTGTGGAGTAAGGAAACTTGCCCAAGGTTTCGCCTTGTGCCTGGAATTGAAAATCAGGTCTCTCACTTGCAAAGCGAGTGCTCTAACCACTGAGCTACAGGACTCCAGAAACTTAGGCAAGTTCCCTTACTCCACATGTCTCTGTTTACGTAGCACTAAGTAGGAACCAGGTTGTTAGTCGATTACTGGATCTCTTTCTGGGGGTAATAATCCCTTTTTAAAAAAAATTGGTCACACAATCCACGACTGTTTGTTGGATATTGCTGTGTGCTATTGGTTGCCGAGTTTCAATTCACTTTATAGTATATTCTGTGAAGTTCTTTGAGATGTCTCAATGATGTGATAAGGCGCTATATCAAATGCAAGGTTTATTATTATTTAAGTGGAAACTTTCTAATGGTTAATTCATAATTTTCAGTGAATTTTCTGCTCAACAGTGTGACAGATGTTAGGAGGTAGGATTCAAATCACTGGCCCATCCCTGCCGCCCAGTGGCAGCATCAAAAACAATGAGCAAAATACTGCAGAAGCTGGAAATCTGAAACAAAACCAGAGATCACTGGGAACACTCAGCAGGTTAGGCAGCATCTGACGAAGGGTCGTGGACCCGAAACGTTGACTAATTTTCCTTTCTCCATAGATGCTGCCTGACCTGCTGAGGGTTCCCAGCGACTTCTGTTTTTATTTCAAAAACAATGAGGATGGATGATCAGCTGGAAAAGCCAGATGGACAGTAAGGTTCCTCTGTCATTTCCTACCCCTTTTCCACCAAATCATGGGGCCCAATGTGCAGTATTCTGTGACGGGATTCCTTATAAAGGAATCCATGTCTAGGTAAATGGAAGACTCCTTGCAGTAACTAGAAATACATAGTTTTTTATGATCTACCTCAGGAGTAGCTTTCTCATGAGCAAAGGAATGGTAACTAGATTCCTTATTAATTAAGAAACACCACAAATTAGACCCTGGTGTATGACAATCTTGACTTCACTGCCCCCCCTCCATGCATGAACATTTCCTATACCAGCTATTAATTCTGGTTGCTAACAATTTTCTTCCTCCCTTCTCCTCCCCCAAAATAGAACACTTTTCTAGCAGTTAAACTGTGCACATTCATTCACAGAATACCAAAGGTATTCTACAAGATGGAATTCATCCAAACAAGCCTGCAGACTCAAATTTTCATCTAATTATTTACCTTAATTTGCCAAGATTTAACAGTAGAAGAGAAAACAGAAAATGTCACAATATAAAATATACAGGAGACCAGGTATCTTAATTGGGAGCATTCAATAAAGCTTGACACACGCGTAAAGCATGCAACTTCCAATACATAATCAGAAGACCAGCATTTTGCCTTAGATGAAAATATTTACATCATTAGAAGTGAGAATGCTCGAAATCTCAAATGTTACTCGTGTTACAATGTTCCTATATCTTAAGTCAGGAGGAAGGCAATAGTTTAAAAAAACCATTAGGTTAGGTTAATTACCTTCTCTTAGCATTGGTTAACTGATCAGGAAAGCCAACACTCTAGTCAAGCCATGTCAAAGGGTACAACACAGCAGGCTGTATGATGCCGATCACTTAAACAGTGTTCTTTTATAGAGAAAACTATGGATATTTTTATGAGATTAATGTAAATTGGACTCTCTTGGCAAAAACACAGGAATTCAGGGTTTAGTCAACACATGCTGATTAGTTCAAAGATTAAAGCTTTTCACTTAGGGTTATCAATACATGATCAATCATTCTAACTCCCACTAGACTTCATGCTGAATACCTTCTGTTCCACTCTGAGGTTTGGAAATGTCCCGAATTGGAGGAGTGCACCGTTTTGCAACATGCTTTTTGGAAGGAGGAAGACCTTGGAATGGAAAGAAAAAGATGATGAAATAAAGAGCGTTTGGGGAAAAATACTTTGAAAGAAATGAAATGAAATAAAATCTTTTGATGTTCAAATAAATATATAAGGCCTTCCTTCAGTGCACTTATTAATTATATCATAATACTGCTGTGAAGACAGGATAAAAAATTTATGAATGCAATAAAGAGATAGTGAACCTAAACAGTACAATAATCCTTACATTGTTGATACAGAGCCTTATCATGTCTCAAAGCACTTCACAGAGTATACTGTAAAGTGAATCGACTGCATATTTTGTGGGTATAATTGCAACAATTCCAAAAGAAGCAGATTAGCCATTTTTTTTTCAAATTTTACACACAATTGGCATTCTCTCTTCCAGATATATTTTCAGGTGTACGTAGCACAACTTCAGTGACAGATACGTATTGTCAAAGGAGGGCAAGGATTCGTTTTTAAACGATTTAACTGTTTTCATTGACACTTCAAATAGGCCTACATTATATTATTCAGCTGTAACTGCTGGTGAGTGCAGCAATGCTGAAATTGTTGTACAATGCCTACATGACCCAATGCAAAACATTTATCACTATTGGTAAAGAGGTGGGTTTACTCTTATTATACACTCACGTCCCAATTGGTTGCGCATTAAGCACTTCATTGAGTCGAGGTGAGCTGAAGGCAACCTTGGAATGAATACTCCTGGGGCTGGCTTGTAAAAATCAGGTTGCAAGCATAAAGCAACATCTTCCAGTTCATTAGATAATAAACTAAGTTTAAATTTGATGCCAGTTACAGACTTGACTTTGTTTTTCACAAATCCCACATAAATCTTACACCCACCAGGTAAATGCTGACAATCAGCCGCCAGTTGTTCTTCCTGACTCCAGCTACATTTACCTCGCAAACCGTGCAGTTCAGAGCTGCGGTCTCCATCCCCACTTTATTTAAAATTATATTGGGATCTAAAACACTGTGGATTCCTGTAGCTCAGTGGTTAGAGTAATTAGAAATGCATCACATCTAGAGGTAGATGGTACAGGAACAGAGCTCTGACAGAGCATTGCTTCCCCAAAAGTGGAGCTAACATACAGCAGAGTATCCCTGGAGCAAAGTTCCCCTGGAGAGGAACGTCCACAACAGAATGGGGCTCTCCTGGAACAGAGCTTCGCTGGATAATAATCATAATAATAATCCTTGCATTTGATATAGCGCCTTATCACGTTTTCGAGACGTCTCAAATCGCTTGCCAGAATATACTGTAAATGGAATCAGCTGTATAGTTGGAGTGCGAAACGCTCACAAAATATTTGTGACCATTGCTCCCGCAGAAATGGAGCTCCCACATGTCAGTGACACACATCTGGTTGGTTACAAGATGGGAGTCACTATCCTCAACATGGGAGTCAAAATCAGTGAATCCTGCAAGAAGTATTACATTTTAGACGTCCCTCCCATTTTGTTTTCCTACAAAATGTTCCAAAGGCATCCTTATTATTCCCACATAGCGTGACACACATCTGGTCGATCACATCTGATTGGGACAGATTTATAATATGGAACATGGAGCAGAATTTTTGAAAATGTCGTTTGCGTTATTTTTCCCCTGGAGATTGCTGGTTCCCGCAATAGGTTCCTTCAGATGGAAGGACAGGTGTAGGAACCGGAGACTGAACGCTGCCTTTGCCTTGAAATACAGTCAAGAACTAATCAAATCACAATTGGTGCATTCAAGTGTTGGGGAATTGAACCGACAAGCACTGGAGTGTAAAGCAATTACAGTAACCCACTGAGGTAGCAATTCAGATTTTATTCAGAAAAACAACGCACACGAAAAGATTCTGTAGCTCCTTTATACAGTGGAAGCTGCTTAATCCAGACACGTTTTGGCCGCCTTAAGCGTCGTCCGAGGTTATCCGAAGTTCTCTGAACTCTTCCCGCTCAGCAGAGGAGCGATGACGCCTCCCGTCTCCGTTTCCCATTGGACGGGAAGGAGATCAGTTAGCGGCGGGTCCGGAAGATGACTGACAGACTGAATAGATGGATGAATGGACTCCATCCATTCACAAGTGGCTCCAGGCTGTCAATCGATCACGACATGACTCCTCGTGTTCCCCTCCTTATTTCTTCCCCGTTCGTCCATCCCTCCCTCAATGATTGACGGCCCGAAGTCGCTTGTGAATGGCTGGAGTCCGCTGTCAATCAAGTGCAATTCGACCCCTCCCATCTCCATCCTGGAGCAGCTGACGGAAGTGAGTGAGCGCAGTGGCAACCGGCGCGGAATTTTGTCCGCGTTAACCGACCGGCATGTTTAAACTGGGTAAGAATACGAATGAATCAAGGCCGAGCGTCCTGTCTTAACTGGTGTCCGGCTAAAGCGACTTCCACTTATTTCTAAAGTACTTCTTTCACGGATCTTTCTTGGGCAGGGGGAGAAAAAAAATCAACTGGCCTCCCGATCATCCTCCAATAGATCCCGACGGAGATAAGCATGTGGATGGATGTCACATGAGGGTAAAAAATTAGACTCGGATGAATATTTAGCAGGCATTTCAGGTTCACTGATCCAAGCTGCGTGGGTGAAGCATCAGGGAGCACAATGGATCAATATCTCGCAGAGAGGAAAGAGATTCGAAAGCTCTCAGGAGGAGGTGAACGGTGGAGGAAAAAAATTTTTAAAAAATAATTGTTTATAAAAACATTTTTGGGGATTTTGTTTGGTGTCTGATACACACAGAAACTAACCCTATCACCACACTTAAAAGTTTCTGAACCATACTGAGAGTTCCACACATGTATGCTACATATGGAAAGCTCCCTATGCCTGGAATTGTGTGCATTCTCTTCCCAGAGATACACACCCTGCTTAACCAAATTCCAGAGAGAATTAAACACAGGATAGCAAGAACCAGAGCTTGGGGACCCCAGAGTGGGTGTCGGGATACTGCTGGAATTTAACCAGCTAAAACCACATAGCTTAGCATTGGAAGCACTGTTTGGTAAACCTGCCGCTGTTTGCTTAGCTAGGGCCATCCTACCCATCAGAGTTTTAACTTGTGTGAGCCAAATACTTACTCCAGGTGATTTTTTTTCAATAATTTCCGATATTTGTGCCGGAAATTTTCAAGATCGAGCAGTCCCAAGTTAAGCTAGCATCACTGGGTAGAGCAAAACTCCTTCTACCTTGTAACTATGTTTGAGCAGATCACTCACTCTGACATCAATGTTCTATTTCCAATTGCCATTCATCCATGCTCACAATCAATTGAGTGAAATTGCCAATTTAGTGTAACTGCAGACAGTTTAATACTGTGAGCTGCACACACACTGGAAATTGGGGTCCCATTATCCAAACTCAACTCATACACACCATTACAATCAGAAGTGTCACACACAGACAGACAGAGAGAAAGCGAGAGAGGGGAAAGCTGAAGCTAATTGCTCTCATATGAAACCGTTTCTAATGGGAACCCTTAATAAGAAAAAAAGGAATGTATCGCATTGACTGACATTAACACCACTCTAACGCAATCTACCTTCAATGTAGAAGTCTATTGAATTAGTATGACCTACTCCCATTTTAGTAAGGAATCTCTTTCTAGACACCATCACGTATTAGACTTTTGTCTCTGATAAAGTGCTACAAATCTGAAATATTTACAAGCTGGCTGTTCTCTTAAGAAACACTTAAGTGGCAAACGCACTCAAATGACGTTTAACACCACGATCATCACTTAAAGCTATATCTTATCTAACGTTGCAGTCATAGCAAACGGCCAAGTGGGAAATTAGTCATTTTTGTCTGCCGTTTTGTTGCCAAAATATCCATTTTAGTCGAAATGTCAGGAATAATTATATACCTTTTAGAATAAGGTTTAGAGCCAGGATTTGTGACACAGTTCATTTACCTGTCGGCTTTAATCAACAGAAACATGAATGTACAGGGCGTGAATGACACTTTGGCTGAAAGGGATTTGAAGTTACCTATCATCAAAAGAACCACATAGATTGTGTGCAAGGCAGGTTATTAGAACCAAAAGATCTCACCGATTATAAACTGTGTTCATTACGTCACTAAAGTTCTTCAAATTCAAAACCCATTTTCTTTTTACCATTTAAGTATGTAAACTGCACATCAAGTTCTAGAATCAATAAACCATTTTTCTTATGCATCATTTTAGGCACTGAAATTCAAATTTCACTTCTCCAGATATCTACAAGGGAAAATACAACTAGGTTGTTATCAGTCACCTCAACGACATACGTGGACAGGAAAAGGTCATTCCATCCTTTCCCGCCATGAACTATGCAACACCTACTCTATCGAGGACTTCATTACTCCGTCTCCTGGAAGAAAGTATTAGATACATAATCCCCCACCCCCTTTGCCGAGCTCTTTCAATTGTGTGAAACGTTTTGAAATGTCCTCCCAACATGACAGGCACTTATTAAATGTAAACTGATGTTATCCTGCGGAGCATTTGTTCATCTGGAGTCCTGCAGCTTAATGGTTAGAGTTCTCGCAAGCGAGAGGACCTGAGTTCGATTCCCGGGCAGGATGAAATATTAGGCAAGTTTCCTTACTCCACACGTCTCTGGTTACCGAGGAGTAAGTAGGAACCTGGTTGATAGTCGATTGGCGAATTGCTTTTCCAGGTGTAAATTCAATAAATTTTTTTAAAATAATAATTTGATCATTCAATCCACGACTATTTGTGGGACACTACTGTGCGTAATTGGCTGAACAACAACAATTTGCACTTATATAACGCCTATCGCGCAGGGTGGCGTCTCAGAGCGCTTAACGGTGGTGGAGCCTGACTCCGAGCCGGGGGGAGTGGGGAGGTGGACGTAAGCACGGTCGAACAGGGAAGTCTTCAGGCGGGAATTGAAAGAGGGGAGAGAGGGGGATTGAGGGAGAGTGTTCCAGAGCTTTAGAGCACAGTGGCTGAAAGCACGATTTCCGATGGTGGGGCGGAGGGTGCAATGGACGAGCAGGA